GTGGGCCTCAATGGTGAGCCGGGTTCAGCGTGCCCCGATTTCGTTCCCTGCCGTTCCGGGTCCGGGGCGGTAGAGGAAGGCGGTGTGCTGGGATGTGGGGGGTCTCTGGCCAGAGTGGGAAGATGCGGTTCCGGCCTCAGCGACCTTGGCAGGCCGAGCGCCTCCAATCCCGGCTACACTTGACTTCCGTGGTTAACTTCAAGACCAAGCCTCCCACTGTCACCGCTGAGGGACAGATACTGTTGCTTACAGGAGTTTGACCTTGAGCACATATTCCAAACGTTTTTTCCTCACGTGTGAGGCGAATTCGTCATTATAACAGTTTTGATGTCGGGAGGCGTATGTGAGAGGATTCCATGTGAAATCATTGGGACGGTTTAGACGATAAGAGTTCGAAATAGAAATTGTAAAGAACACATAGGAAGTTGTTTGATTACTAGTACAGCTGCCTTTCAGCGTCTTAACTCCCCAGCGACCCATCCCCACTCCCCCATTTTTACAAAAACAAGAAAGGAAGGCACAACCCCCTAGGCCAGTTCCACTATAGAAGGTCAGCAGCGTTTCGGTTATCTGGCTCCTCTAGCTAGGGTTGTCACAAGCCCTAACTAGTGAAAGAGGCAGAGGTTGATGCTACTCTTGTGAAGAGGCAAAGGTAGATGCTCCTCTTCCAGAAAAAAGACCACCAGCTTGTTCTGACATTTCTTGTGATTTAAAAATCTGGAATGATTTCTGCTGTCTCCTACATTATGGGAAACTGCACTGGACTCTTTGATTTCTGCTTCTATAGTTGACTGTGGTTCATCTCATAGTCCTCATTATGTTGATACCTACTTGGCACTATTCAGTGTTGTTTGTGACCTTTCTTCATGGTAATCAAATTGCCCGCTTGGGCAGCTTTTTACTCTGCATTTGTTCACTCACTCTACCCCTCGTTTTCTCTCCTTTTTTTTTTTTTTTTTTTTTTTTCCTTTTGAGGCAGGGTCCCGCTGTGTAGCCTAGGCTGGCCTCAGACTCATGATCTTCCTGCCTCTGCCTTCCCAAGCCTGGGATTATGAGCATGAGGTACCATGCTTAGCTTTCCTGCAGATTTAATGATCAGTGTTGTGGGGTTTTTGTTTGTTTGTTTGTTTTGGTTTTTTTTTTCATAGCTATATAGCCTTTAACCTTACTTTCAGGTCAGATTCAAAATTTTACATTTGCTAATACCTTCATTATAATATGTTAACACTTTGCATTCTATTGTTGAGGTTTCTGACCTTGATTTTAAGGGGATGGAAAAGCTCCTTAACTTTTGTCTTCCAGTGTCAGGTTTCATATAAACTGGTACAAAATCTTTTTTTCTGAGTAAATGTGAAGGAGCACTAGTGGGTCTTGGATAAACTGTTCAGGACAGAAGTGAATACCCTAGCTTATTCCAGGTCTATTGAGTTGGGGAATGAATGGGGAGGTGAGAAATGAGGCAGGAGGAATTGCAGAAAACCATCACTCAAGTGTGTCAGATAGCCTAAAGGTTTCTTACAAAGACTGGTGAATTACCTGCTTCATAAAAGCACTTTCCAAAGCAGACTGTCAAAACAGCCAAAACCTTTTGCTGAAAGCATATTTACCTTGTAGCTTAATTGCACGTTAAAATCCATTGAGGTGGTTTATGGAAAGATAGGTAGTGACAAAATGGGTGGGTTTGGGTTGGAAGATTCATGGAGGAATAAGTTTGCATTATGGTAGCATCCCTTCCATGCAGATTTCTAGGTACATTGACTCTACAATTGCAAAAGATTTACATGCCTTAAATTTCCTTTTATTTCTTTTCGAGGTGATATTTCCATAAATGATAATGATAATGCTTGAGGTTAGAATTAAATTAAGTAAGCTAGCGCACACCTTTAATCCTGGCAGAGGCAGGTGAATCTCTGTTTGTTCGAGACCAGCCTGGTCTACAAGAGCTAATTCCAGGACAGCCTCCAAAGCCACAAAGAAATCCTGTCTCAAAAAAACAAACAAACAAACAAAATTAAGCATTCATGCTTAATATGCTTTGTGCAAATTACAAGAGAATGACTTTTGCAACATGGCAGTTTCCTAAATGTTCCTTGGTTGGTGATGTGACCCAATGAAGTATAACTTCGTATACAGAGAACAATAGATAACTAAATTTCTTTTGTCACCATAAGAACTTTTTTTTTTTTTTTTTTTTTTGGTCTGTGAATAAGAATGAGTCATTCTGTGTAGTGTTCTTTATTATATTGTATTGTATTGTCAGGTTGGTGGTGTGGATAGTGTTGAATGCAGAACTGTGAACTTGGCTCCTTTCTGTTTTAGGTAGACAACACAATTTTTAGTGTAATCCCAGGCGATGTCATGGGGAAGTAATTCTTACTTGATTCTAAATGTTACTGTATACCATCCCATTGATGTTAGGTAGGGTAATACATAATATAATGTCAAGGGATTCTACAAAGTCCTAATTGTGTCTCTCAGGTTGTCACTACCCATGCCTTAGTTCCCTCCCTCAAAGGATTGGGTTGGCAGAAAAGTAATTTTGATAGGTTTCATTCTTGTTCAAATTTGTAACTTCTGTAGTTTCTCACTTTAAGTCATGTGAAAAGTAGGTGAAATACTGATATTTGGGTACTGAAAGAAGTCTTTTTAAGATGAGAACCTCAAAGACCAAGGAAGCACGGTCATTTATAGTGGCCTTGTGTGTTATGCCTAGATCTTCATTTTGAAGGGATATACTTTTCTGAAAACGAAGAATTTTTGACATTCTTTTTCCCCTAAAAATTAAATCTTGTGGCAGTTCCTGAAACATAAACTTTATATGTTTATTTTTATTCTATATATATTATTTTGTGAGGAAATTTACTTCCTAAACATAGTTAAAGAATCTTGCTAGTGGGTTCATTGTTTTTGTCAGATTTAGAAATGGCATGAGAGAGGACATGTTCTGCTGCTTTCAAACTATAAATATTTTTTAATGTCTGTTCATTTGTCACAAACATTTGGCCCATTTTATGACCTACAAAAAAGTGTCCAATTCAAAGGGTCCACAGTATAAAAAAGAAAGATAATTTTTTTCATAGATGCTGTTGTCCTGCTGAAGGGGGAGAGTTTGTTGCTCTTTGACTGCTAGTGATTTTATTTGAAGATTTATTTGAAGATCTTCTAGCAGAGAATACAGGCTAGGTGTTTGCCTTCAGATGACCACACAGCAATTGTTAGGTGGGCTAAGTGAGTTTTGAGACCTAATCTACAGAGAAAGCGAAATAATTAGCATAGATGGGTAGTCTGTCTAAGCAGTTGTTTAAAAAAAAAAAAAAAAAAAAAACCAACTTGAAATCTGTTTATTGTGTTATTTGCCATTATGACTCAGTCTTTGCTGCTGTGTGCACCTTCCAGGACATTCTTTTAATTGTAGCTTTCACTTGTTTGTCTTGCAGTTCCTGCTTCTGTTCGTTATTCCCATACAGATGTCAAGGTGCCCGACTTCTCCGACTACCGCCGCGCTGATGTTCTAGATAGTACAAAGTCTTCTAAAGAGAGCAGTGAGGCTAGAAAAGGCTTCTCTTACCTGATAACTGCAACTACTACTGTGGGTGTTGCATATGCTGCCAAGAATGTGGTCACCCAGTTTGTTTCCAGCATGAGCGCGTCTGCTGATGTACTGGCCATGTCGAAGATTGAGATCAAGTTGTCTGATATTCCAGAAGGAAAGAACATGGCTTTCAAATGGAGAGGCAAACCTCTGTTTGTGCGCCACAGAACCCAGAAGGAGATTGCCCAGGAAGCTGCAGTTGAAGTGTCCCAGCTGAGGGATCCACAGCATGATTTAGAGCGAGTTAAGAAACCTGAATGGGTTATTCTGATAGGTGTCTGCACTCATCTTGGTTGTGTACCCATTGCAAACGCAGGAGATTTTGGTGGCTATTATTGCCCATGCCATGGGTCACACTATGATGCCTCTGGCAGGATCAGGAGGGGCCCTGCGCCTCTCAACCTGGAAGTGCCTACCTATGAGTTCACCAGTGATGATGTAGTTGTTGTGGGTTAGACACTGGACTCAGGCCTAGGCTTCTTTCCGTCTTGTCCATCAGAAGAGTTGAGAGTAAGCCCTGTGTACTTCTAGATTGGTTGATTTAAAATATTTAAGAATTGTGAATGTGTTGGCAAACATTAATGTGAAGTAATTTAATTCACTCTTAAATATTGTCAAGCATTATCGTAATAAAGCCACTGTTGAGCATCATTAAATTTAGTCACAGACTTGAAAGGTGCAATGTCTTTTATAGCTAATTCTAATAAAACATTACAGATTGTTGCACATGATATTTGTGAAATCTGTAAATGGCTTTCTCATTTATCATCTAAATTTCTTCTCATATCTTGTACTTGAAAAGAGGTGGGGGCATCATTTTTTACTTCCAAGTGGATGGCAAAGATTATTTTAATGTCATGTTTTTGTTTTGATAATTAAAATTTTCACAGTTATGGGAAATGATAGATAAAGGTAATATTACAGTATTTTATTGAAATATTTTCATTTTTAAAGACTGGATTTTATTCTTTAGCCAAACTGGCTTCAAACTTGTAGTCTTGCTCTGCCTCCTGAGCGTAGGCTGATAGGCATGTGACAATCCTTCCAGTACTTAAGTTTTTTTTTCCAAACAAAAAATAACAGAGCACTGCCTTACAAGCGTAGAAAAGACAAAGAAGAAAAACAGAAATCTGTCAAAGTCATATATACTTAAAGATAAACATTCCTGATTTTTGCATGTGTTTTGTTACAACATTTTTATAGAGTTAATCCCTGAACCTTTCTTGATTTATATCTCCTTTGCAAAACCAGTTGGCTTAGGACTAATCTCCCTATGCTAAAGAAGAGAGCAGCCCATGAGACTGAAATTATCACACACAACCCAGAACAGTTTGATCTCCTGCAGTCTATAAAGCATTTGATTAGAAAGGGGAGTCTTTAGGTCACTGATAAAAATAAATAAAAATCTTATTTGTCTCCTAAAGTCTCATAAGTGCTGCCTTTAAAAGTCCTTCGATCTGCTTTTAGCCAGGCTTCCTAGTTAATGTAAGCAATGGTTGTCTGGCATCTTGCATCTGGTCTGCCCCAAACCCCTTGTGTGTAACCTGGATAGAGTTCTGTCCTATCTTAAATTTTTTTGAACTGATTTTCAATTCTGTTGGTGGCTAAGTCTCCCAGCAAACAGTAGTCATTCTGGTGGAGATTTGCAGGGAGTTTTGGTTAAAAAGAAAAAAAAAAGCAAAATTTTTAAGTCACAGGTGTGTTCAACACCCCCCCCCCCGTGAATTATTTAGAATATTTATGTTTTTTTAATATGCTTTGTTATGGTCTTCCAATTGATGTTGGAGAGTTCTTTTTCCAACGTGGAAGTCTCAATTTTGTTGACAGTTTTCAGAAGAGAGCTAGTTACCAGTGGTCCTGTGAAAGGTCTCCATATTAATTCTGGTCACATCAGAGGCAGGCAACCTCCAAGTATAGCAATCGTAGCTCTCATTGGCTCCATGTGCCCACTCATAGAGCTTTCCAAGTTGCCTCAGTGGGATACTCTGAGACCGGTATAGTCTCATCCAGAAGCTGGGCTGGTTACCTGAGATAAAGTTGCAGTCAGCTGCCCGAGTCTCCTCAAGTGCAGACAGGTGTTAGGGTCACTGACATAGAATGCTACATACACTTTGCTCTCCTAGTCGCCTGCTGAGAGCCCAGGACAGTGATACAAGGTAGGACTGAAACTGCACACTGTTACGGAAAAGCCTGGATTTCTATTCAGTAGCCCTCAGGGCTCCACTACCTAAAAATTTAGGGAAGAGCATATTGATTTAGGGGACCTGAAGACCTACTTCAATTTAAAGACATTTGGGGAAAGAGGTGCACACTTATTTTGTGGGTTCAGTGTGCCCATCCAGCCTTCGACTCAACAGCTGCCTCTGTCTGCCTCTCCAGCCTGCATATAGCCATTGTTGGACAAACTTGTATCATGTAAGCCAATCAAGTAAATCCCTTTGTAACATATTCTTTCTACCTTTTCTGTTCTAGGAAATGCTGACTGATACAGGGGGTTTATTTAACCTGTTGAGAATTTCAGTGCCTCATGCAAAAAATGGAGTCTTCCATTGACTTGAACTATTTCAGTGGCATACATGATGGTGTACATGTTAAATGCCCCCATAGGCTCTTGTGTTGAATACTTGACCCCAGCAGGTAGCTGTGGGACCTACCTGAAGGTGGGCCCTGGCTGGTAAGTCACTAGAGGTAGGTCTTTGAGAGTTGTAGCCCCACCCATAGTTGTGACTACCCTCTGTTTTCTGTTCCATTGTGTTGTGAATACATTCCTGCCACCATGACTGGGCTGCTCCAACCTACCTTTGGTTCCAGCCTCCACATTTGCATTTCTGTGATCTGGGCATCAGAGTTAGGTCAACATGGTGTTCTTAGTACAGATAACAGATGTCAGCTTTGTCAGGGGGATGTTTGGATCTTTGTCAGGTGTGGGTCAGACAAATGGTGCTTGGTTTTCATTGTTGGGACCACAGGGGTTTTAGTACCACTGTTAGTTGTACTGGATCAACATGATGGGTAGGGTAGTTGTTAGTTGAACAGGTAAGTAAAGGGGACTGGCTTTGGTGTCTCACTGGGTTTCTGGGTCAGGCTCCAGGCTCTCGAGGGAGCTAGCATTGGGTTGGGATGGCAGACAGTTGGGATGAACTGGCTTCGGGAGTCCCTTCCTGAAGTTCTGGTTCAGACTCCAGGTTTGGACTCCAAGCTGTCCTATCACAGATTGGTGAAGTTGGTAAGTGGCTAATAGGTGAGCAGGTGGTGATGAGGGGGACTTTGTAGAGGTCTCTAGGATTCCAGGTCCAGCCCCAGATGGTCCTAGGTCATTGTGGATAGAGTGGCTTACAGTAGGAGGCTTGGGTTGAGTTGTGGACTTGCCCTGGGAATTCCTTCCTGAATTTCTGTTTCAAACTTCAAAAACTTTTTTATATTAACTAAATGGAAATTTTAGGTTCCATTGGGTAGTGACTTACTTAGGGTTGCTGTTGCTGTAGTGAAACACCATGACCAAAAGCAGCTTGGACTGGGGAGGGGAGTATTTCACTGTTACATTCAACAGTCCATCATCAAAAGCAGTGAAGGCAGGAAATTCAGCAGGGCAAGAACCTGGAGGTAGGAGCTAAAATACAGGCTATTGAAGGGTGCTGCTAACTGGCCTGTTCAACCAAATTTCCTGTAAAAGGACCATCAGCCAGGGCGGATGCTGGAAAACTTCCCTATCAACCACTAATTAAGAAATGCCCTCCAGGCTTGCCTGCAGCCTGATCTTATTTCTCAATTAAGATACCCTCCTCTCATAGGTCTCTAGCTTATGTCATACAACTAGACAGCACAGGTGGGTCATCTGTATGGGGCTAGCATATAAATGGTTAGGTTCACAGTTCACTGTTGTGCTGAACAATGAGTTTCATAATATGCGTTGTTTCCTCATGGTACTGGCCATGTATCATGTTAGGTCACAGCCTGGGTCTGTTAACTGAAGTGGAGTTCTCCAAGGGAGTGTCAGACACACTCCCCTGAGACACACTGCAGCTGGGGCTTTGTTATGGTTAGTTTTTTATGGTTAGATAAATTGTAGCTCAGAGTCAGCAGTGGCCTCACACTACTGACCCTTCCATGAGCCAATAGTGGCCATGTTCTAATGCTAAAGTAGCTCCACAGCCTTTGTCCCGGGATGGTGTCTAAGTGTGTACTTAAGCTTCTTAAAGTCTATAAAAGGAGCAACATATATTTGGATCTGTTAATAAATATGACCCACTGTAGGATTGATATGGCAACTAATTCAAAATTGCTTTCTTCTTGAGTCTTCACTGTAAACTATGGTTACTAAAATTTTTAAATTTACATTGACAGTTCTCTTTACAAAACAAAACAAAAACATTAAAATGTAAAACATGTAAATGTTCTTTTATTAGGAAAATAATTTTATCTAATTTGAAGATTTCTTAAAATAGTTTTTCAAAATGTAATTTTGGGACAGTCTGTGGCACGAATTCTAATTGTTCTTAATAATAAAGACTCAGAGTCTGATATTGGGGTTAAAGCTGAAAATCAGAGAAGCAAAGTGGCCAGCCACTAGAGAGTTCTCACCTCTACCAACGCTCAGACAGAAGGGGTGATCCACTGAATACAGATTGCATCTCCAGAATGCACTGTACTCCACCAAGCCTCAGACTTTTCAACTGCACTGCTCCTCAGATGACCCTGAGCTCCTGTCTCCTACCTTATATTCCTCTCTCAGCCCAGCCATATCACTCCTGTCTCCACCTCCCTAGTGCTGGGATTAAAGGTGTGATATCCCAAGTGCTGGGATCACCTTTGTGTAAGCTGTTTTTTTTTTTTTTTAGACTGGATCAATTTTGTGCAGCTCAGGGTGGCCTTGAACTAACAGAGATCTGTCTGCCTTTGTCTCCAGAGTGCTGGGATTAAAGGTGTGTGCCACCACTGCCTGGCCTCTATGGCTAGCTAAGGTTACTAGCTTTGCCCTCTGATCTTCAGGCAATCTTTATTTGTTAGATCATAAAATATCACCACAAAAGTCTCTCTACATAGCCTGGCTGGCCTGAAATTCACTAGACCAGGATGGTCTCCAATCCACAGAGATCTGCCTGCTTCTATCTCCTGATTGCACTACCATGCCTAGTTTCAAAATGTAATTTAGAAAAAAAAACCCTGCAATAAGTAAAAAGAAATCAATAATTAATAGAAAAAGTGTTCTAAGTGATAATATATTGTGACAAGAAATAAGATTTTAGATAAGAAAAATATAAAACATGATTTTATTCTAAAATAATCTGTGATAGAGATATAGGCTCAAGTAATTAAAAATTTATAAAGTATGCCAAGGGGCATCCACCTGTCTCCCATTTGCACAATTCAGATTTTCTTTGAAGAGACCAGGGTTAGACATGGACACATCTAAAAATTATGCTGAGTTTTACTCCATACTAGTGTCTCATCTAACCTGATTACTAAAAAGTGCACTCTGACCAAGAGAGAAGGTAATCTAAGAGGCAAATGATTTCTTGAATCTCTAGTCTGCAAAATGGGTTCAAAGCTTTTAAAGCACTGATTTCTGCATGTTCCTGAGCCACCTATTGTAGGGAGAAATCCTGATTCCAGGTATGCAGCAGGGTTTAAAAGCCAGGGAGGTCAGCACATGGCCCTCTCGCTAGACTGAGCCGACACTGGGAAGCGTTTCTGGGTCCGTCCTGCTCAGGGTGCGAAACTGGTCACTGGT